ACAAGTGAGGAGTACAGAAAGGTGAGCACAGACAGGTGAGGAGTACATAAAGGTGAACACAGACAGGTGAGGAGCACAGACAGGTGAGGAGTACAGAAAGGTGAGCACAGACAGTTGAGGAGTACAGACAGGTGAGGAGTATAGACAGGTGAACACAGACAGGTGAGGAGTACAGACAGGTGAGGAGTATAGACAGGTGAACACAGACAGGTGAGGAGTACAGACAGGTGATGAGTACAGACAGGTGAGGAGTACAGACAGGTGAGGAGGTGCAGGATGATGTCACCAGTAGAGGTGTTCTGTGTGTTTCTGACCCGTTCTCCATAGAACAGCTGGCTCTTGATCTTCTTCAGATTCTCAGTGGAGACTCTGTTGTCGTAGATGTAGTTTTGTTTTATTTTCCTCCTTTCTCACAGTTCTGCTGAATGGACCAACTCAAAGATCCCCTCATCTTTGAGTTGGTCCATTCAGCAGAAACTCCTGTTCTGGGCTGGTTGGGTTGGTGGGGGGGGGGGGTGTTATATGTAACTCTAGTTTGTGTCTAGGAGAATGAACTTATAAACAGTAAATAATAAACACTTGTTTGTGTCTTACTGCTGAGTGTTGTTAAGAAGCAAAACCTCAGGTTTGCTCCTCCACTTTAAAGAATGAGGGAGCAGCTGCTTCACCTGCTGCAGGAGGTGAGGTTCCTCCTGCTGCAGGAGGAGGAGGAACCTCACCTCCTGCTGCAGGAGGAGGAGGACAGATGTTTCTTCAGCTGTTGTCTTTTTACTCAATGAGCAGAGTTTGGCCTGTTTTATTCTCTTTGTTTCTCCTCGTCTGCTTCCTCCTTTTTTCTTCCTCGTCTTCCTCCTATTCTTCATCATTTTTGTTTTCCACTTTTTCTTCTCATCTTCTTCCTCCTCATCTTCTAAATCCTCATCTTTTTCATCCCTGTCCTCTTCCTCACCTTCCACCCCCTTGTTTTCTTCCTCCTCTTCTTCTTGCTTTCTGTTTTCCTTCCCCTAATCTTCCTTCTCCTCACATTCTTCCTCATCTTCTTCATCATCTTCTTCCCCCTGGTCTTCTTCATCCTTGTCGTCCTCCTCCATTTACTTGCCCTCCTGTTTGTTTTCTCTTCCCTCTTTTTTGAATTCCTCCATCTTCATCATTCTTGCACTTTTTTATTTTAACTTCTTGACAAACTTCTCCCTCAGATCAGCGAGAAGGTTGGTTTGGTTTTATTTCTCCTCTTTCCCCTCCTAAAGCCCGACTGGAGCCGTGCTGCGCCAGCACCTTGCTGTGCGCCTGAGGCCCATCTCGGTCACCCTGTCAGGTCCTTAGACCCCCCACCTCCTTTCTGTCCACTGACCTGCCCCCCAACCTGTCCTCACCTTTCAAACATAAAGCAGTTTGTAGCCGTCTGCTGCAAATTTTGTGAAATAAGCATCTTTTAATGTAATGTGCACATTAAAACACTTAAAAATGGATCTGTTTAAAATGCAGCTGTTAGCTTTTGAAGTCAACTCAATTCAAGATGGCAGCTACCTGCGACTTTCTGGGCTTGTGATCAGAAAGTCGCAGGTTCACCTCCCGTTACCGTCAACATCAAAATGTGGGTGGAAAAGGTGAAACACCCACACCTGCCTCCACCCTCGTTCACCCCACTCTGGGCCCCTGAGCAAGGCCCTTAACCCCCACCATCTGCTCCCTAAACAGGTCTCTCTTGAAAATGAGTTCTCGTGGCTCAATGAGACTACCTGGATAAATAAAGGGTAAATGAAAAAAATAAAAAATCCACAAATGTAATTCAAACTCTGTCAGTTTTACAGATATTGAGCTACAGTTTGGTGTGGTAGTAGCTGAGCATTGTTCACAGCTTGAACTTGTTACAACTCCATTTTTCAAAACGAGGATCTGAGTGTACGACTCATAGATAGAAGGCGGCGAGTGATGCATTCACTCAAAGCCTTTAATTTGTATAGTGTCCATTTACATCTCATTAAAAACTAGGACCCTGAATATGGACTGTACTTATATATAGCACCTTTCTATCTTATCAAGACACTCAAAGCACTTTACAACACAATCTGCGTCCTCATTTTCCCATTCATACAGCACTCTACTAGATCTCTAAAAAGACTAATAAGTGCTTTATCACACTCATACACTGATGGGACACACATCGGAGGCAATGAGGGGTTCAGTGTCTTGCCCAGGGACACTTCAATGTGTGACTGCTGGTGGATTCGAACCCCCAACTCGTGCATTGGAGGACGACTGCTCTAACCACTCAGCTACAGCTGCCCTAATATCAGGTCTTCTACGATCCAGTGGTGTTTTTATTGAACATTTTCTGTGTGAGAAGTAAAAGCATGGACTGAGTGGACACTCCACTGTCTCCAAACCATGACAGATGTCTCCAGTTGACAAACCATCATCCTCCCAGAGCGTTAAACACCAGCTGGTGAATCAAACCCCCCATGCAGCTACTTTTTGTGCTGCCAGAGTCTGAAGATCACTGTAGACGTTTGTGTGCTGGTTTAAAACAACAGTATTCAAGGTCAAATAAGTCCATGCTCAATAATCCAGGTATACAATCCAACAATTTTCAGTCAGGTCATCTGGCCAGTTTCTTTTTTTTGCTGAAATGTTTCACCTTCCATCCAGAAGGCTTCATCAGTCAAGGAAACACACAACACAAAACTGATTTGTCCCCCAAACAGCTTTCTCCAAAGTGGAACAAACCAGTTATGTTGGTGCTAAGATGGTGTCTTTGGCAGGTCCCCTCCTCTGGAGCCGGCCCTCTATTCAAGTATTCAAGGTCACGCACATTATTTCACTGCCTGTCTCCACCCACATCTACCCATCTAGGCCTACTTTATACCCAACATGGCAGCTTTCTCCTCATGGCTGATGGAATCTGTTGCAGTATGTTGGACAAAAATATCCTTGCATTATCTACTTAAATAAAGGAGCTCACACACGACGACAGGAGAAGATGTTTTAACCCAGTTTACTTGCAAAGGCAGTGTTCACCACAGGCTTGCACACATGTTTCATTGGATCCTCGATCGTGGATATCTGCACCAGAGAGTATATAAGAAGTATTTATTTTATACACGCTTATCAGCACGATGACCTCGGCCTCTCAGCTCACAGGTGACCTTCGAGTACAGCTGCACATGCAGCTCCTCTCTGAGAGGACAACAACTCTCTGAGCTCACACACATGGTTCAACATTAATTTAACATTAGCAGTGATAAACATCCATAAACCTTTACCAAAATTACCCTGGCAAAGTACACTTTAGAAGTGTAGATAGCCAGATTTATTATACATTGTTTACTCTTGGTGTGGTTTTTAGACCTGTAGGTGTCAGAATGAAGCTCTGGAGCTTGTGGTTAGTGATACCACAACCACTCTGTGACTTTGAGAGAAATTTGGTTGCACAAACCTTTTGAACATGTTCAAAACTCAAACAATAAGACTGTGACACACGCAAGGACGTTGAGAAGACTTCTTGAGGCTCCCTCTCAAACAACATGGTCAGGTCAGAAGAAATGGGACAGCAGCATCACTGCTCAGCTCTGTTGTCATAAAAATATAACATCTGATGTCTGACCGCACAATTAAGGCTTACTTCACAAAATTTGGTTTGACCCTCGTGACCTCTCCTGCATGCTGATGGTGTTGGTCCAGCCCGAGTCTTGCTCTACTCATGCGTCTCTCTGTGAAAAGTAGTGAATCTGAAAGACTTTCACAGCCTGTGACTCAGGGTTTGGATTGAATTTGTAGATTTGCTGGCAAGTGGTGCACATTTTTGTTCCGCGTTTCTTTTTCAGTATCTCTCACTGCTAACAAAACATGGACTGTGATGTTTTTGCATGTGTCATTGTCTGATGAAGGACTGGATACATTTGAACAAAACTCTCAGAAAGTACAGATTTGATGTTCATCTGCATCTGATTTCCTTTTAGTGTCAACCATCTTCAAGATGGCCACCAGAGCCAGCTGAACACAGTCAGGTTTACAGATGTTCAGTAAAAGCTCTGGAATGCTGATTCCAGATCATTTCACTTTATTCATGTCATGAAAGCACAACAGGGTAAAAACTAGAAAACCTATAGGCTACTGCTGTTAAGAAAAAAAGGACTACCAGTAGTTTATAATTTATACTTTAATATATTTTTTGTCTGTACTTTGTGTCCAGACACCTTCACCTCTGTCAGATGCTGCTCGTGTCGAACAGTCTTTACATCAAATTAGAGATTCTTCATTGGACTGAGGTCTTGGCATTGACTTGTCCACCACAGAACCTTTAACTGGTTCTCCTTAAACCATTTCAGCAAAGTGTTTAGGGTCATTGTCCTGCTGGATGGTGGACGTCCGTCCCAGTCTCAGATATCTAGAAGAATGTCTGTTTTTTCATCCACCTCTCCGCTCCATTAAGGTGATCTTTGTCCTCTTGGATTTGTCTGATTAATGCACCCTTTAAAATCCGTTTAGATCCAAACATAGTTCAGTTTTAGGACAATAAAAAACGTTTCATTCAGAGGTGTTTGAAATAAAGTGACTTTCTGCATGGGGATGTTTGTTTATCCTTCAGCATGTTCTGTTTGCTGCATGAAATCAACACAAGTGTCTGCTTCTCCATACTGCTTTTTAATACAAAAACAGTTCTAAAAAGGTTTGGATATTGTGTAAAATATGATGTTACATAAAATATAAAAGGGTTTCAGACTCCGCCCCTCCAGTAATATCTGCCTCTCATGGTTCTTCTGTTTCTTTTCAGTTCGCCGTGTGCCTCCTCGTTTCTCCATCCCCCCCACCAGTCAGGAGGTGATGCCTGGCGGCTCTGTTAACCTGACCTGTGTGGCAGTTGGCTCGCCAATGCCCTTTGTAAAGTGGGTGAGTGGTGAAGTTGAGCTGTCCCAGGAGGACCACCTTCCTGTTGGCCGTAACATCCTGGAGCTCACAAATATCCACCAATCTTCTAACTACACATGTGTGGCCATATCCGACCTGGGTATCATCGATGCCACAGCACAGGTCTTTGTCAAAGGTGAGAAACAAGACTGGATGCCATCTCAGGGGTCCCTACAAACTAACTTTATGATGATTAAACCAACAGAACCTAAAACCACCTTCAAAAAGGGCCGAGATTCTGACAGACTGGTATCTTTTTTTGCAAATCCAGATTTTCCCAACATCACCAACACTTCAATCAAGATCAAGAGTTAAAAATATTGAACAAATGGAGAAATGTGGAGAATATAAACTTCACTACAGTAAAAGCAGCATAGCTGCCATTATACCATACCACTTTTTTTATAGAGCACTTAAAATAGCAACAAGGTCAACCAAAGTGCTGTACAGCAAAAACAAACAAGCAAAGCAAATAAAATATAAAATAAAGTAAAATAAAACATATAGATATGAATAGCAGAAGATGATAACTAAATGGCTAACACTGTAGAATACAGACAGGTTGAAAACAAATCACACTGTGCCAAAAGCTAGGGAATAAAAGTGGGTTTTTAAGCGAGACTTAACAACTGCAACAGAGAAAGCCCTGTCACCTCTGAACTTACGACGGGACATTATGACAGGAGAGGAAGTGGATATAGTCAGCAGATCATGCTTAGGTCTTGTTACTCTTTTTCTTTTACATTTTTATTGTTGGATGTAACTGGGACCCCGTGTACACGCTTTCGTTCCACCACATGTACCACATGTGGTGTGAATGACAAATAAAGAAACTCTGACTCATAAATATATATCTATATCCATCTATCTATCTATCTATCTATCTATCTATC